ATATATAATATATATATATATATATATATATATACTATATATAATATATATATATATGATATATATATAATATATAAATATATAATATATATATATATATATATATATATATATATATATATATATATATATATATATATATATATATATATATATATATATATATAATATATATATATATATATATATATATATATATAACACTATATATATATATATATAGTGTTATATATATATATATATATATATATATATATATATATATATATATATATATATATATATATATATATTTATTATAAATACTAAAACCATACAGAATAAAAAAAAAAGTTTGTAAGATAGGAGTTGATATAAAATCGTTAACATTTTTAATAAATCATACGTAACAATTCCGTTTACTGTTTAAATCAATGAAAAAATTTAAAAACACATTTATTGGTTTTGCATTTCAGATGTTTTAAATAAATATGTTCGTGCCGATAGTCTTGACACATACTAACGTTCTTGAAGATGTGTGAGAATATTTATTTCTCTGTACATTTATTCAGCTTCCTCCCTCCCCCCTTCCTCCCGCCTATATTTGCATTGAGTTTTTAACACGATCCATCAACAATGTGTGCATCTGTATAAGGTGCCTTTGGAAAATATTCTAGATCAACTGACAAGCAAGGGCCCTGCAGTTTCTTTTCCTGCTAGTAATGACATAACAAAGATAAGCAAAATCGTATTCTATGGGGCACACTTTAGGTAAACAATAACCCAAAGTTAATAGGCCTCCCGTATAAAAAAGGATGGCTGAATTTAGCCTGACAACTCAAGCAAAGACTACACTTCTGAGTAAAGATAGAATTTAGCCTGACAACTAAAGCAAAGACTACACTTCTGAGTTAAGATAGAATTTAGCCTGACAACTCAAGCAAAAACTACATTTGTGAGTTAAGTCAGTTAAGATCGATCTGTAGGTGGTTGACGTTCTATATACAGCAGGGTTAACACAAACAGCAGATGTACATGCGCTTAAGTGGATAGACAATGTGGCAAAAAAGCGTCTCGCACATGCCTGGCGCTGAGCTAGGCGCCGATAAGTAAGCCAAGAAGTAGGCTGTACATATACTTGCGATAAGTAAGCCAAGAAGTAGGCTGTACATATACTTGCGATAAGTAAGCCAAGAAGTAGGCTGTACATATACTTGTGATAAGTAAGCCAAGAAGTAGGCTGTACATATACTTGCGATAAGTAAGCCAAGAAGTAGGCTGTACATATACTTGCGATAAGTAAGCCAAGAAGTAGGCTGTACATATACTTGCGATAAGTAAGCCAAGAAGTAGGCTGTACATATACTTGCGATGAGTTATTAAAAATGTGATATTTAGAATACGTAACATGACAGTTTTGAATTCTTTGATTCATAGTTTCAGTTTGTGTTTGCTGTTGTTGTTGATTTTTTTGGGTGTGTTTTGTTAACTTGTTTAAAATGTTTTTTAATTATTCTCCGAAAAAGGCGCCGCTATCCAATGGTCGTAGGGAGAGCAGCCGCCATCCCTGCTCCCACCCCCCCCCCCCCCCCCTGCGTACGCTACTGCAGACCATGTAAAGTAGACTATGTTACCACCAATTATTTCTTTATCTAACCACTATTTAAATTAAAGTAATTAAAATTAAATTAAACCAAGCATTCTTGCCCGCATGAAAAACTCGGGGAAAAGAAGGGGGGGGGGGGGGGGGGGGAGAGTTTTTTCTGACGATAAACTCTGGAGAAGGGGGGTACGTATTTTGTTTTTCTCATGCACGAAAACGTTGAAAAACTTTTTTTGTCGAGTTGGTGGTTGGATACATTGCATGACGTTATTTATGGACGGAGACAAGAAAGGCTGTCAAGATATTGTTGTCAATACTGTAGGTGTCTATTTTAAAAACAAAAAATAACAATATATATTAAAATTCAAGTGATTATCTTTTAAATTATACGAGCCGACCCGCAGCGTATCATACGCAGCTATTTAGTTGTTTTATTTTCTGCTTTTCAGCAATTCATAGTTTTTGAATTCGACAGTACCAATCAGGGGCGGAACTACAGTGCCGCCAGGGGGGGGGGGGGGGCGTTTAGGGGCCCACAGCCGACCATAATCAATTTTTTTTTAGAGTTAAAAAAATATTTTGTTGCATTTTTTACTTGATGGTTGTTTTGTAAAAAGAATACTGTAGCTGCGGTTGCATTATTTTTATTCTATAGACACCATCCCGAGTCCTCTTTCTCCTACAATCAAACACGCGCTGTTGTCGGCAAAATTCTTTTGAAAATAAATCCATCGCGTGAAAGATAGGCAAACGTTCAAACTACTTCTATGAATTATTTCCCTTTTTAAATTGTCAAATATGTGTGCTCTTAAGCACCTTTTAATAGATTTGCGCTTAACAAATTAAAAAGCAATTATTTCTCTTAATTATTATTTTTAAAAAATACATAATAAAGAATGACAAGCATAAAAAGAAAATGTATTTAAAACTAATAATATAAATACAAAAAAAAACAACATGGAAATAAACATAACACGAGAAAGCGTTACACATACAAAGCTTTCATGCTTCATATTCTTTTGACAGACTTACCTTTGGGAAGCATTATAGCAAGCATATATTAAAACATGTGACGTGGTGTTGTGACTTATAAGCGCAGTGGCGGTACCACAGCCAATGAGGTTTTACCGAGGCGTGGTTATTGCTAGTTTGTAATCTACGACAAACATTCAATGTCATCCTCTCAGACGACATTCGCAAAAATTGTCAGCGGCAGCAAAGGGGTTGAGCCCTCGGAAATTCCCTCTTGGGCGAGAGCCAGGGAGAGGAGCCACCCGGACTACGGTTCGGGTGGCTTAATGAAATCATGGGCCCAAACCTTTTCAGTTATCAAGACGACAATTATCATCGACCAGTCTGATGAAATAGCTCCTGAGCTTTTCGACTCGCCTACAGTAATGCAAGTCACCATCAAATCAAGCAACCACCAGAACATCCCTGGTCACCTCTTGCGCAATATCATTAGCCCACACCAGATCCTGCTGCTCAACTATGGACGAGGGGATACCTGGTACTTCTCGTCCAACGAGTTTGATGCATCAGATCTGGACGGCACCACCAAAACACACGGTCCATACACCCTGAATTTCGACAGATACTACAAGGACAAAATCATCGGAACCCTTAGATGGATCCCGCCCGCTCTGAGCAACGAAACACTAATTAAGGCACTACAAACAATCAGCAAGTCTAAACCTACAGTAACCACAATCCCGCACACAAACAACCGCAAATTCACCATCCACAACGACAACACACAACACATCCCACACTACATCAAAATTACATACAAAGACACAACACGGAATATCCTCATTGCACTGCCAGGAAGACGCCAAGCCTGTCAGGTGTGCGGCTCGGACAGACACTGGACCAACCATTGCCAATTATCAACACTAGAAACAACACCCAATGTCCACCTGTCAACAACACAGGAATCAGCACCAACTGCACCGCAGGCCCCAGAGCCGATGGAAGACCAAACAACCCTAAACATGAGTATAGCGGAAATACCAACCAGTCCCTCCAAACCATCAAACAAGCCTACAACCTCTACGAAAGACCAAACAATACTAAACATAACTACAATGGAAATACCAAACAGAAAACCAAACAGCCCGTCCAAACCGTCAAGCGAGCCAAAAACCTCTATTACAAGTAAAGCGAAACCACCAATCGTCAAATCAACCGCATCAATAGCCCTCAGCTCAGACCTTAAATCATCATCCACGCTGACCCCAAACACGACTACAGCAAAGCCAATCCTTGCAATTAACAACCCTAGCTCAGAATCAGAAATGGACACCTGCACAATTCCAAAAAGGAAAAAGGAGGACAGTCCTACAGATGCAAAACAAACAACAAAAAGTCTAAAAACCGCAAAATTGAAACATAACACCACAAAATGCAGATTTTGCGCCTAGCAACACAAAACATCCACGAAAGCGGAAAAGCACAAAAATAAAGTACACACAGAGTTCTTACAGTGTTTGTGACGAGAAAATTATCCACACAGACATAACCAAGCACTTTGAAGGAAAACATTACGACGTAACAATGTATAACTGCCGAGATTGCAGCGTAGCCCTCCCATTAGAGGGCATAACATGCAAAACCCCACCCTTACTAGATCACTCATCACACAGCTTTGAAGGAAGATTAATTATTTGTTAACCCAGTACAATCTTAGACGTTTTGTATAATGAAAACTTAAAAATCACATGCTTAATTAGAATCTGGTGAAAACTGAATGCAATATTATGTATTACATGTATATTTTAACAAGTAACCTATCCACACAGCTAGCTCCTGGCTTGAAGGGAGTGAACTGTGTGGAAGGAAATCTATTAAACCAAGGGGAAAAAAAAAGGTTATTGCTAGTTGAAAAAAAAAAAAGTTGTTGTGACTTATTTTAATTTTTTTTAAAAAAGTAAGTATTTTTATTTAAAAAAAAAAAACTCGCACGAGCCCGAAACGAGTAATCTGTGCTGGTATTTTCGTATTTTGTTTATATATATATATATATATATATATATATATATATATATATATGAGCCCAAAAAATTTCTTTGCGGGGTGGCCCTTTTTTTCTAGTTCCGCCACTGGTACCAATGCTGCCACTGAAAATATTTGCTTTAAAACACTATCAGTAGGTCGTTAAGGACGATAACCCCCCCCCCCCCCTTTCCCCCAACCCTACACCACCCCCCCCCCCCCCCCCCCCCCCCCCCCCCGTGAAAGCAGCCTCCTCTTAGTTACCTCCTCTAAGTTTAAAATCGTTTCAAACTAAATTATCTGCCCCTAATAGCCGTCACTAAACCCGGCTCTACGATAGTAAACATTTAGCGTGAACCACAGCTCACCAGACCATGTGGGGGAGGTTGATTTATGCCTAGTGAAGAAGAGAGGGGACTGCAAGGCGCGCTTACAGCTTGTTTTCTAGGGTCTCCAAGAAGAGAATTATATATATAGATATTGCCATCTATACATACTACCCTATTAAAAGTATGTTTAGATTGGATTGGATTGAGATCAAAATAATTTATAAGCATTCTAATTACAATTTAGTTGAAGTAGATCTTGAATCCAGAGGTTCGTCCGGGCATTTCTTCGGGGGGTCAGAGCCCCCACAAAGAAAGTCTACCGCCCCCGAACGAGATGGAATTTATATAGTAAACATACACTTTTGCTAGTGTTTGCCCCCCACCCCCCTCCAAAAATGCAGTCAATAACTGATGTAAATTTGTAATAATTACAAAAACAGTATTGAGATATTTATCAGATAGGTTTTGTTCTTATGCTCTTAACAAAATACAGTTCAATAAATTTTGCAATTTTAATAGAAATTATTGTTTGTAATTACTAGTATAACCTCTAGAAAAAATAGTGTTGTTGAATGGTTGAAAAAATGCTTATGGATCACCAATGCAGTTCTCTAATAACCATTACACTTACAGTGGTGGTAAAAAAAATGTATGATTTTTTGAAAGAAAAGCATAAAGCCTTGGACATTCTTGAAAACAATGCAGGTATTAAAAACAAGGTGATTTGATGTTTTTGTTTATCGCATAGTAGGTGATTTTCAATTGATTTTTTAAAATAGATTACTTGTTACAAGGATAAATTGTTTAGATTGTATGTTATGTATAATCTGTTGTAGTTGTTTATATTTCTCGTACATCCACTTTATACTTTGCCTACCAGTTTTAAGTATAAAGTTATTTATATAAATTAATTTTTGAAAAAAATTATATTGATAAATTAATTGTTAAAACATTTAATATAAATTCCTTATAACAGAACTAGAAGAATAAAGTTAGATAATTCATTAACCATAAAATGTTTTTGCCAGCTGCTATTGGATACGCTGCCACTATGATTCAAGGGGCTATAAACCATTTTATATCATCAGCCCTTTTTGGTTTCTTTGGAAGAAAAATGTTTTTATGAACAAAACAGCAATAGAAACAAAACTATCAGACTCATTGTGATCAAATGTTTTATTTTCTTGAATCCCATAATTTGTGTACATATATTCTCATTCATACTTAATGTGTAAACCTGTTATAATTTCTCAATGTCAAGGTCACTGAAACAGGTGAACTTAACTTCACTTGCCATGGACTGTCAGGTTTGAAAAAGGAATTTAATGTTTTTTCATTGGAATGAAAATAAAAATTACAGATAAAACACAAATCTATGTTAGAGTTTTTAACTTTGCTTTGAATTATAAAGTCTGTCAGTGGTTTTTCAGGTGAGGGCAGATTTAATTAATTATTTTCTTTAACATGTCAGTCTTGCATTTTTAGAATTTTTTTTTTCTTGAACTAGTTGAAAATAAAATAAATAGCAGACATCACATTTATAAATGTATCCAATTTTTATTAATAATTGCTGTATTAATAAGAACTGGATTTTTGAATTGTGAGATCTTCATCAGATTTAGCAATATCTAAAATAGCTGAATTTTTCTCAACGTACCATGTTTGGTAGTTTTTGATAAATTTCTAAATACTGAATATGATTTTAAAACGTGGTTGTCTACACACAAGAACCAATGTCTCCAATATGGCAGAATTAAAATTACTGATAAGTGTCTACCTTGTTGGTATTGTTTAGCAAATACTGAAGAAAAGTAATTGATGTACTTCTTTAAGTCAATCACAGCTGGTGAATACACAATTAAACTAGATGAAGTACTCCATATTAGATTTATGGTAGTATGACTTAGAGTTAAAATGCACCAAATTTATTCTTTTTTATGTGAAAGCAATATTTGTATACACAAAACAGTTTTGTCAAACCTGAAATAATTGTGTGCACTGCACAGAATATTAGTGTGAAGGTCTTTCAAGCTAGAATTAAGCCTTCCATTCCAAAACTTGTTTTTCTCTAATAAAAAGTCCTCTGGGGCTGTCAATGTTTGGAGGCAGAAGGGCGCAGTAGACGGGTGTTTCAGCACCTTTGTGAAAAATAAAAGAAAAAATTTAGATTGGGTTTGTTTTAAATCTCCGTTAAGTAAAAACTTAATCCATTTTTTTATCTTACAACCAGGCAATAATTGCTGGCTAATGGATAAGTTTTGTTGTTTTATCTCAGTTGTTAAGTAATTACTTCATCCTTATTTTTAGGACCAGACAATAATTGCTAGTCACTAAATAAATGTTTATGTTCAGACAGAAGATTACCCTCATCAATGGTCAGATTTCCTTTTTGGCTGGACATATCAGTGGCAACATAGCCTGGACTGCACTGAAACACAAAAGTGTGTAAATAGTTAATTGAAATTTACAGGCCTCAACACACAAACTAAAACACAAAAGTGTGTAAATAGTCAACAGAAGAGTACTGGCCTCAACGCCAATTGAAAATAACTAGTGACCTTTTGGCTGGAATTATAATATTTTAAGACAAACCCATGCTTTCTATTTTAGCCCAAAATAAATAATTACTTTTTTTCTTAAAATTTACCTTGCTGAATTATTTTTACAAGCACAATAAGAAAATTTTCTACAAAAAGTTAATTTTTTTTTAATGTTCTTAGCAAATAGGTCAATGTTTACTACTAACACATATTTTTGAAACATTGAAACCTACTGCATTGACAACAATATCTTGACATCCTTTCTTGTCCAGTTCTCTCTGTTGAATCATTGACATGACAGTGACACCGACCTTTGACATGCCATAAGCCGAGTCAGCAAAACCTGCCTGAAGATGTGTGTTGTCCTGAGCCGCCCTAATGGTAACAGAAATCAGCTGTATATCACACAGGTCTAGCTAAATACTATACTCGTGGGGAGGAGTGTCACAAAACAGGAAAGGGGACAGTAGTGGCCATCCTAGGGGGTAACTACAAGATGTCATTTTTCAACTGAGAAAACCTGCATTTCCCTTTTAACTCTTGTCATAGTCATTATGAATATGCATAGGTTGACCATTAGAGTTATAAATTTTTATGAGTATACTTCAGCCATATATAGAGAGGCACTAAATTATCACACCAGGTGTCACCCAGCCAAGTGATGTCGCTGACCATTTGATTATTTTTCTCTAACTTCAGAGTGCAAAAAATAATTGTTTTTTGCTTTTTTTAACAACTTTTTAATATACATATCATGAAACTTAATTTTCTATTGATCTAGAATTCCTGACAAAAAATTAAATTTTGAGCAGTGTAAATATTTAACAGCTTCCCTACAGGTAGGAAGTTGTCAAAGCACAAAAATACTTTATAAAAATAATTCTGAAAGTATGAATAACAATTTTAAAATTTGCAAATGATTTCATTTACATCATGGTTAGTTTTAAAGGCAGTAAATTATTATTTTGAAATTTCTAAGAAGAAATTAAACATGTTACAGCTTATTATAAATGTCCCTACTTAATGGGAGACAATTTAACATACTATAAGAATGAATTTGAACAGGGAGCAAGGATAAATTAGAATAAGAACTTTGATCTACATGTTTTGGTGTTGTTTCCTTACTGAACAAATTGTTTGATGATAGAGGTCAGCTCATCCATAGTGATGTTAGGGTCAGTAAATCTTGCCTTGTACTCATCTGAACACTTGGATAATGCCATCACTGATGTTAAGCTAGACACATTTACTACCCTGAAACAAATAGAAAAAAAATTTGAAAACACTGAATGAAAAGTTGAAATTGATGGGAAATTATAAGAAAATACAAAATAGTTTTTTGTATGAGGAGAATTACTGACCGAGCATGTGGTCGAAGCAAAGGGAAGAGAACCTGGCAAACATTTAATGTGTTGAAGAAGTTTGTCTTTGTTGTAACATCGGCTTGTTCAGAAAATGGAGCTGTTGATGCTTGCTGTGAATGAGACAATCAATTATTATTTTATTTAGTGAAACCAATAGCTAAGAGACGCTTTTTGTAAAATTAACTGCTAGACTATGCTGTATCACATAAATACTTTTGTACTGCTGAACTGTACTATATCACATACATACTGCTGGACTATACACTCAGAATATCATGATAAATAGCTTTTTATCCTGATAGTGGGTGTCATGGTAGCAGTAATAGAAGAATTAGGCTTCAATTTAATGCGCTTCCTTAGTTATTATTTTACCAAATCACATTTATGAGATGAAAGGTTTAACAAACTTGTTCAGTTAGAACAAGCAAACATTTTATCACATTTAATTTTTTCAAAGGTTATGTTATATAAAATGTGTGTACATGTGATAATTTAATACATTTGTAATTTCTAATAAAGGAAATAATTTTGCAATAAACCAAAAGAAAATCACCTTGTATGCAATGCCAGCATTGTTTACAAGAATGTCCAGACCTCCATAGTTTTCTTTCAGAAAGTCACAAATTCTTACAACACTGTTATGGTCATCTATGTCCAGCTGGTGGAATTTAGGATGCAGATTTTCTTTCTCCAAATCTGAAACTGCCGTGGTACCACGCTCTACATCACGAGCTGAAGAAAAAAGCAGTTAAATTTATTTCAAATATTTTCTTTTTAAAGCAACAAACTTTTATTTAATGAAAATTTGTTGACAAACTTTATAATTTAGATATATAAGTAAACTGAAAACATTTACTATTTTTATATTTATAGGTAATATGTAAATTATTTTAAATTTTTATACCTGTAAGCAAAACATCGCCATCAAAATTCTTGCACAATGCTCTGACAATACCAAAACCAATACCTTTATTTGAACCAGTAACCTAGAAGTATTAAAATAAAAATTAAACAAACATAATAGAGAGATCTATTGCTGATGTATTAGTTTATTTAAGTTTATTACTTTAATTAGGTTTAATGATTCAATTTAATTTAATTAGGCCTTATGATTTATCATTTGGGTTTAATGAAAGTTGTGAAACTGTGAACTGAAAGCGACCAAAAAAATAATACAATATTAAATAATATTTATTACAAATGATAGGCCTAATAATATTAATAATAGGCCTATTCAACAAACTATATTACTATTTATATTATTATTATATATTAGGCCCTAGGCCTAATTACTACTAAATTTAAATACTAAATCATTAAAATTAGGGCCTAAGTATCAAACAAGCTTAACTAAGTAACATACTATGATAGTATCATGATAGCTACTTTAGGTAACTTTGGTATGGCCTACTAAGTAGTAAATTACTAGATCTAGATCTATCTAGAGTCTACATTTTATATACTAATACTAGGATTAGGATTAATAAAATATATATATTTTTTTTTTACCAGTGCCACACGCTTAGACATATTAATTTTAAATTGTAAATGAATGTAGGCCTATACACTTGTTTACAATGTGTTAAAATTTTAAATAACTAGACTGAGAGTAAGAGCAAGTGAGCCGATTGTAGTTTCAGTTTCTAGATCTAGATCTAAGTACTACTAACGTAGGCATACTTTGTCCCATATTTAAATTAATTGTTTTTTGCGTTTATGTAAAAAGGCGAAATGAAAATAATGTGCTGTGACACACTTTCAAACGGTGTCTTTTAAACTGTGTTGTATTAAAAATAATACCTTTTATAAAATAATGTTTAAACATCTTTAATAACAGCTGAATAATCCAAACATGACGCCAACCATCGGGTATGACACCAACCATGGAGTAAGACGCCAGCCAACCCTGGGTTGTGATACCAACCCTGGGGTGTAACGCCAGCCCTAGTGTTAAGACACCAACGAATGTGTAAGACGCCAACCCAGGGGAAAGACGCCAAACTTGGTGTAAGAACCAACCCTGGGGTAAGACACCAAACCTTTTGTAAAACGCCAACACTTTTATATACTGTGCCACATTTATATAATGTGATAACGTGTCTCATTTATATCAAGTGTTTCTCCGGGGGGGGGGGGGGGAGGCACTGTTAAAAGTATATATTTTCTATATAAATTCCATTTCGTTTGGGAGGTAGACATTCTGGGGGGGGGGGGGTGGCGCCTGGAAGAAACTCTGTTTAAATCCAGGTGTCACAATTATATACTGTCATTTTGATCTGTGTGTCACATTGATACACCACTGACAACTCAATTATCTCCCCTTATCAGACGATGTTTAGCGGTCAATGATTGGCTGCAGGCTGTAGAAATAAGCTGTTCCTTCAATTGAATCTCGCCTCAAGATAAAGTGTCGTCTCACAAATTTTCACAAAGTTCGATAAATATTGAACAGCGTAATGTGTGGACTATGTAACAACAAAAAAATTCCTTGCTGTGTGTACACAGCCACGCCTTGTGTACACTGTAACACTTTGTACAGTACACCTTTTACACTACCACACATATTACACTGTCATATTGTGTGTGCACTACCACACCTTGTGTATACAGCCACAACTTGTGTGCACTACCATATCGTGTACTTATATACTATTGCACCTTATACACCACCACTGTACACTACCGGATCCAGTACACTACCACACCTTGTGTACACTACCACATCCAGTACACTGCCATACATTGTGTACACTACCACACCTTGTGTACACTAAAACACCCAGTACACTACCACATCCAGTACACTACCAGATCCAACACACTACCACACCTTGTGTACACTACCACACCCTGTACACTATCACACCCTGTACACTACCACATCCAGTACACCACCACACCCTGTACACTACCACATCCAGTACACTACCAGATCCAACACACTACCACACCTTGTGTACACTACCACACCCTGTACACTATCACACCCTGTACACTACCACATCCAGTACACCACCACACCCTGTACACTACCACATCCAGTACACTACCAGATCCAACACACTACCACACCTTGTGTACACTAACACATCCAGTACACTACCACACCTTGTGTACACTAACACATCCAGTACACTACCACACCTTGTGTACACTAACACATCCAGTACACCACCACACCCTGTACACTACCACACCTTTCAGTGTACACACACAACCCTCTACATACACTAGTCAATTTGCCCGTCGGCCTACAGTCTTCCTCTCTGACGTACAAAAAGGTTGTTACGAAACACCAACCGATGACGTGGATGTCAACGAGATTCGATACCAAATAAATGTCACTCGAGTGTGAGGGAGGAGGGGGGGAGGGGATTCCACGATAACCCCACATTGCTGGGACAGGTCGATGAACATTAGCATGTAGCACTGGGTGAACTCAGTAAACGCTCTGAGCACCAACATGGCGGCTTTATGTGGATCGCGAGATGTCTAAGGGATTGAATTCCATAAAACGTCCATCAATTTCTGAGAGCAGACTGTCTTTGTTTACATGGTGCTGGTCACATGCATTATTCAAACAACGATTAAAAAACAACTTAGTTTCACTTGAGAATGATTGAAAGGGGGACTTGAGGGATGGCGCTGATATGAGAACACATACATCGTACACAGCCGGGGTGACAGGTTCAATACATTTGATGTTTTATTAGTTTGGTTTAATTTCAAGTCCGTGTGGCACCAGTCAACACATACCCTCGCTGCGCCACAGACTGGCAGCTAGCACCTGTTGACCTCTGGGTAAACAGTCTTATCACAGTCACACACTTCAGGCCTGGGTGGGGTTGGGGGCGGGGATAGAGAGACCAACATTGGACTGGAGCAATGTAACACGGATTTGATTGCAACATGGAGTCTTGCAGTTGTTGCAGAGGTGGTTCAGGGGGAGGGGGAGAAAACTTGTACAGTGGTACATCGAGATTCGAATTAAATTTGTTCAATAATCTTGCTCTTCAAATTGCTCGTATCGCACAGATAAACATTGTTCGCTCGACAGCTCGTATCTCAAAATCATGTATGTTGGGGCACTGGTATGTTGGGGAACTCGTATGTTTGGGCACTCGTATGTTGGGGCACTCGTATGTTAAGGCACGCAAATGTTGGGGCACTCGTATGTTAGGGCACTCGTATGTTGGGGCACTCGCATGTTAAGCCACGCAAATGTTGGGGCACTCGTATGTTAGGGCACTCGTATGTTGGGGCACTCGTATGTCGGGGCACTCGTATGTCGGGGCACTCGTATGTTGGGGCACTCGTATGTCGGGGCACTCGTATGTTGGGGCACTTGTATTTTGGGACACTCGTATGTTGGGGGACTCGTATTTTGGGGCACTCGTATGTTGGGGCACTCGTATGTTGGGACACTTGTATGTTGGGGCACTTGCATGATAGGGCATTCGTATGTTAGGGTGCAAGTATATTGGGGCACTCGTATGTTGGGGGACTCGTATGTTGGGACACTAGTATGTTGGGGCATCGTGTGTTGAGGTGTAAAAACCCTTTTTTTCCTAAGGACTATAAATGAATGACATATAAACCAAACCTCTCCCTGCCAGAGAACTTCCCAAACTTCCCATTGGCTCCCCTGAAAATCAATAGCCAACATCTGGTGTTTGAGTTGAAAGTGGTACAAACGATGTTCGATAACTCTCGCTTTACTCAGTTCAAGCAGGTTACGTCAACATTTTAAAAAAAATTGCGACTGTAGTTACCATCTCCAACATATAGAACATTTCTAGAAATTCCCTCCCTTCGAGAACGACGATAAAATTAATATAGTATTTTTTAAATGTTACGATTTTAAAAGAAAGAATGGCAATCACACGACTTAAGAGAAAATAGCGTATTATGTGTATAGGGTAGTCTATGATAATGTATGGACTGAAAATCCCGGGGGGGGGGGGGGGGCAGAGGCGTAGCGACCCTTCCCGGCGCCCGGGGACAAACTTTCGATTTGCACCCCCCCTCGAACTTTTCATTTTGCACCCCCCCTCTCAAACTTTCGATTGCACCCCCCCCCCTCTCAAACTTTCGATTTGCACCCCCCCCTCGAGCTTTTCATTTGCGACCCCCCCTCGAACTTTTCATTTGCACCCCACCCCCTCAAACTTTCAATTTGGCGCCCCCCTCAGGTCGGCGCCCGGGGACATGCCCCCCCGCCCCCCCTCGCTACGCCTCTTGGGGGGGGGGGGGGGTTCCAGCAAAACCGTGCTGCAGTAATAGTCATATTGACATTAAGAGTTTTTAAAAACAATGTGTTAGCATTTATCCTTTTTACCATCTCCATCACTTCATAACTATACGGTAAATAAAATTCACTTTGAAGGGGAAAAATTCACAAGGAAAATTTCAATCGAGAGTTAGGGCCCCTTTGAAAATTTCCCGGGCCTCATGGCAGAGGCGTAGCGAGGGGGGGGCGGGGGGAGGGGACATATGTCCCCGGGAGCCGACCTTAGGGGGGCGCCAAATTGAAAGTTTGAGGGGGGTGCAAATGAAAAGTTCGAGGGGGGGTGCAAATCGAAAGTTTGTCCCCGGGCGCCGGGAAGGGTCGCTACGCCTCTGCCTCTTGGACACAGCCAGTCCGCCCCTGTCTATGAACGTGGGTGAATATTAAACTAAAAGAAAAAAATCTGTAGTATGAGCTAGCTGCTAAGTATATACAGTCCGATCCCATCCCTTTTCTGATTTCTATGGCGAGACGATGTCGCAATCGGGCTGGCGTTCAGTAAACAAAGTTTATAAGGTCAAACATTTAAAGCGATCATGAGCCATTAGAACGGTTGTTAAGGGAAGGGATGGGGGTTAAAGCTGTATCTTCAGTAGCGTCACAGGGCGGGGGCAGAGGGTGCGGACCACAGCGGAGTGACATCATCCAATCATGTGACAACCTACACGAAAAGTGGCTAAATTTTAATATGAAGGTCTGCTTTTTATTCAAGTTAGTTTAATAACTTATTGAAGTTATATCAATTATAAGAAACACTTCAAACAGGGCGACCCCCGACATACTGTCCGCAGACTCGTGGGTAGGGAAGGTTAGTTATTTATGAGTCTCAAGCAATACAAAATACTAAAGTGTGACAAATTTGTATGTGATGTCATGTGCGAGCGGAGATTATGGAATGTATCACGTCAGTTGCGGGTTAGCAAATTATGTCGTTATTGTCAATGTATATTTCATCCCCCCTCCCCCCACCTCTAGCTGGTCCCTGAAGGAACAATCCCCTGCACATCTTGCTTTGATACCGTGAAGAAGCTGGCATTAATACATCAACGGCGGAGAGGGGTTGTACCCTGAGCTACTGCACAGGGGTCGTCCATAAATGACGTCACACTCGGAGGGGGGAGGGGGGGTAATTTTGTGACGATGTGTGATGAGGGGACAGAGTTTCTTCCAGGCATCTTTCCACCCCCCGAAGAAAGTCTACCGCCCCCACGAACGAAATGAAATTTATATAGAAAATATATACTTTTAACAGTGTCCGCCCCCCGAAAAAAGTCTACCGCCCCCCCCCCCCGAAAATTTCAAGTGCCTCCCCAGAGAAAAAAGTCTGGAAGAAACACTGTGTGGGGGAGGGGGTTCAG